GAGGTGAGCAAGACAAAGTCCCCATCCTCGTGGAACTTATAAGTGACTAAGAGAATTTCAAACCGTGATAAATACATGAAGAAACAACAGGGTGATAGGAAAGTGAATGGAAGTGGAGAGAGACTTTATAACACAGTCCAGCACATCCGCTTTGAGCAGTTGACATTTGAATTTCATTACACTTTTCTGAGGATGTGTCTCCTTCCCTTTGTCTGATGGGACCGTGTCTTATTACTCATATCCTCACAGGTAGCACAGTGCCTGGCACTCAGAGTGCTCTGTAGATGTGCACTGAATGCAAGAATGAACGAATGGGTGAGTCAGTAGAGGTGATGGTCCCGCCATCCTTTGCACTGCGCAGACCCACAAGGAGCTCTGAGTCCAAATCCAGGGAAACACCTTCCTCCCCAGGCCCCTCACCTTGTTACCTAAGAGTGACTAGGAGACAGAGAGGCGAAGGAGCTTGCCCCACTGCACAGCTAGCCATGTGGCAGGGCTGACTGGAGAACTCTGCACAGCAATGGAAAACAGAGGCTAAGAACAGAGGCTTGAATTTGGCACTGTTCTCTCCCCACTATGTGACCTTGGGCAAGTTACCCAACTCTCAAATCTCATTGAGCTGTTGTGAAAATTAAATTAAGATAAAGTATTGTAAAGAACTTGGCAGGGAGGTGGGCTCAGAACAGGGGAACAGCCAGCAGAGCTGTCTCTGCAGTGCTGCAGGCGCCAGGGTCTGCCAGCGCATTGAAATGCAGGTGACCTCACTGGCTCCTTCCGAACCCTCCCAGGGTGTGGGGCGGTGAGACTGGCAAGCACTGGCCTGGAGGCACAGACCTCAGCAGAGGGAGGGGATGGGCGTATTTTCCACTACTCCAACTTTTTACCCACATCCTGACTTCTCCTTAAAAAGAGTTACTGTAAAAACAGTATCAAGGCATTAAAGGAAAATTTGAAAGAAAAATAAGTCACCTGTGATATCAGGATTCTCGCCCAACGATGCTATTTTCTTTCTTTCTATTCTTCCTGTTTGTCCAGATGAATGCATATTTTATTACTATTTGGCTACAGTCATAGTAATCTATTTTATTTTTTGCACATCACATAACATTTTTATCATAAATTCTCATTCACAATCCTCTAGTCTTCATAAATAGAATTTTGAATGGCAGCCTGATCTTCCATCAAGTTGATGTACCATCATTTATTTATTCATTATCCTATTGCTGGGCATTTAGTTTGCTTGTTTTTGCTGTTAAAGACAAACATATATTTGTATATAGTTTTAAAATTCTTTATGGCTATATTGCTCCCTAGAGTGGAACAATTTTTACACTTTTCTTTTTCTTTTCTTTTGAGACAGAGTCTCGCTCTGCTGCCCAGGCCAGAGTGCCGTGGCGTCAGCCTAGCTCACAGCAACCTCAAACTCCTGGGCTCAAGCAATCCTACTGCCTCAGCCTCCTGAGTAGCTGGGACTACAGATGAGCACCATCATGCCCAGCTAATTTTTCTGTTTTTAGTAGAGATGCGGTCTCACTCTTGCTCAGGCTGGTCTCAAACTCCTGACCTTGAGCAATCCTCCCACTTTGGCCTCCCAGGGTGCCAGGATTACAGGCATGAGCCACTGTACCTGACTGGAACCATTTATACTTTTCTAGAAGTATGTGAGCATGCTCTCACCAACTCTGTGCAGCTTTTGTGTTGTTTTTAATATGCTTGCATCTCCTTAGCTTCATCTGGTACAGTGTGGTGTTTGCTTACTGCTGAAGTTCCCCTTGAATGAAATTTAGTTCATGTTTTTTGCTCATTATCAGTCTTGATGAGCTATTTCTGAACCCAATCTTTTGCCATATTTGCTGCAAGCTTTTTCTGCAGTTTGTCATTTTTTCTTTTTTTTTTCAAAATTATATTTTTTAAAAGTTATGAAAGCAATACATGTTCATGGTAGAAAATCTGAAAACTAGAGAAAAAGTAAAAAGAAAAAGTCATCACTGAAAATTAACCTTTATATTATCCTGTTTCAAAACCAATTGTAAAGAGATACTTTTTAATTTATTGGACAATGAGAATATGGGCTGGTTATTCCATGATATTAAGGAGTTATTGTTAATTTGGTTGGGAGTAGGGAAGATATATCTTTTTTAAAAAAACATCCTTATCAGTTAAGATGCTTACTGGCGTGTTTATAAGAAAATTGATGTGATGTCTCAGATTTGCTTTTAAAAACTCTAGCACAAAAAACAAAAAGTTGGAGAAGATTAGATAAAACCAAATTGGGTCGGGTGCAGTGGCTCAGACTTGTAATCCCAGCACTTTGGGAGGCCAAGGGGGAAGATTGCTTGAGCCCTAGAATTTAAGATCAGTCCAGGCAACATAATGAGACCCTGTCTCTACAAAAAAATTTAAAAATTAGCCAGACATGGTGGCATACACCTGTAATACCAGCAACTCAGGAGGCTGAGGTGGGAGGATCAAGTGAGTTCAGGAGTTGAAGGCTGCAGTGAGCTATGATCATGCCCCTGTACTCCAGCCTGGGCAACATAGTGAGACCCTGTCTCTTAAAAACAAATTAGCAGCCAGGTGCCTGGTTCACACCTGTAATCCTAGCACTCTGGGAGGCCGAGGAGGGAGGATCGCTCAAGGTCAGGAGTTCAAAACCAGCCTGAGCAAGAGTGAGACCCCGTCTCTACTAAAAATAGAAAGAAATTAATTGACCAACTAAAATAAAACCAAATTGGGTCGGGTGCAGTGGCTCAGACTTGTAATCCCAGCACTCTGGGAGGCCGAGGAGGGAGGATCGCTCAAGGTCAGGAGTTCAAAACCAGCCTGAGCAAGAGTGAGACCCCGTCTCTACTAAAAATAGAAAGCAAATTAATTGGCCAACTGAAATATATAGAAAAAATTAGGCAGGCATGGTGGCACATGCCTGTAGTCCCAGCTACTCGGGAGGCTGAGATAGAAGGATCACTTGAGCCCAGGAGTTTGAGGTTGCTGTGAGCTAGGCTGATACCATGACACTCTAGCCCAGGCAACAGAGTGAGACTCTGTCTCAAAAAACAAAACAAAACAAATTAGCAAAATGTTAATATTTGTTGAAACTGGATAATGCATATGTGGGTATTCATATTCATTATTCTTTCTACTGTCACATACTCTCCACTTTGACATTTTCTGTAATGACAAAGTTTAAAATGTTATCTTCTTAGGAGGACTTCTAGACTGCCCTAAGCTAAAATTCCAACCCCATCTCCTTCCTCTTATTTCATACTCTTCACCCCTAATTCGGGTTTCCTCCTTAGCCTTTCATTATTGTCCATCACACTCGATGTGTTCTTATCGTATACGGTTATTTTGACTTCTTTTCTCTCCCCACCCGGGATACAAATTCCAACAGGCATGGGATTTCTCTGTTTTATTCATTGTTTTTGCCATTTACTTTGCCTGGATACTCAAATAAGTGTGGAATGAAAAACAGAATCACCGTTGCCATTTTAAAATTACAGATATGCATTTTAACTTTCAATTTAACAGAAGAGAAAAAAAGATACTGAAGTAGAATAAAGAAATTGCTTAACATCAGATTATGCTTCCTAGAAGAAACCATCTTTTCTAACGATTAAGGTTGGAGGCATTAGGTTTTACTTTACTTTTTGTTTTGAATGGGGTACAATTCATGCTATAAAATATAAAATAGAATGAATGTTCTCTGTTTTGTTTTGGTTTTTTGAGACAAGGTCTCGCTCTGTTGCCCAGGCTAGAATGCAACTTGCGTCATCATAGCTCATTGCAGTCTCAGCCTTCCAAAGTAGCTGGGACAACAGGCGCCATGCCTGGCTAATTTTCTTATTTTTTGTAGAGACTGTGTCTTGCTCTTGCTTAGGCTGGTCTCAAACTCCTGGCCTCAAGTGATCCTCCCGCCTCTGCCTCCCAAGGTGCTGGGATTACAGGTGTGAGCCACTGTGCCTTCCTGTTTTATTACTTTTTTAAAAGAATCCATTACAGGCCTTGAATTGCTGGCCAGTCTGGAAACGTGTGTGGGCTGACCCAGTCAAGGAGCAGGTGAAAAATGTCCCCATGTTTCGCTGTCCCCAGCCACTTCCACCTGGTCCCCCTGCCTCCCACCTTGGCCCCTCTGATCCTTCCCAGAGTGGACCTGGGCTTTGCCCTCCCCACCCCCAGCTCACCACACACAGTTTCCAGCCCTGGGGGGCTGGCTCACCCAAGGAGCTGTAAAAACACAGGTCTCACCTGCCTCCTTGGGCCCCACCTTTGCAGATTCCCACCCTGTGTGCCCAGGTGGATGTCAGGAGGGTTTTTTTTGTTTGTTTGTTTTTAAGCCCTTCATGTAATTCTGAAGGGGAGGTTTGGGGACCCCTCCACAAGTGGTTCTCATTCCTCTTTATATACCCCAGAACCTACCACAATGCCTGGCAAATTACAGGTGCTTAATTAATATGGAACAAATGAATGAACTGAAGCAAACTTTTATTTTACTTATTTATTTTTTGGGGGGATATGACCTTTATTGAGCTCATCCACCAGAATGGAAATAATATCTGCACAAAACCAAATGTTAGTTACTATAACTTCTGCATCACAATTAAAATCCAAACAGTTTTTTAAAAACAGTCAACTCAATCAAAACCCACTACTTCAGAATCAATAGCTTCTTTGAACCCCCACAGTAACATTTAAATATGGTTAAGAGGCCGGGCGCAGTGGCTCACGCCTGTAATCCTAGCACTCTGGGAGGCCGAGGCGGGGGGATTGCTCGAGGTCGGGAGTTCGAAACCAGCCTGAGCGAAACCCCGTCTCTACTAAAAATAGAAAGAAATTAATTGACCAACTAAAAGTATATATACAAAAAATTAGCCAGGCATGGTGGTGCATGCCTGTAGTCCCAGCTACTCGGGAGGCTGAGGCAGGAGGATCGCTTGAGCCCAGGAGTTTGAGGTTGCTGTGAGCTAGGCTGACGCCACGGCACTCACTCTAGCCTGGGCAACAAAAGTGAGACTCTGTCTCAAAAAATAAATAAATAAATAAATAAATATGGTTAAGACTTGAATGCAGAAATTTGGTTGGTTGGAAAGCTAATAAACTTCCAACTTGCTCAAATAGAATTACAAAAAGGTAAAATTGTGTTTTTCACAGAGATACAGCCCACTGGAATCACCAACACTGGACAGCTGTTAGAGTATTTAGAGTCCTGAGCCAATAAGGAATCCAGGCATCCTTTAGACAGTCTTCTGTTGTCCTTTCTTCCCAATCAGACACTTGTGGATGTGTGGAATGACACCACCACCAGCAATTGTAGCCTTGAAGAGAGACCAATTCTTCGTCTCCACCAACAGCAAGTTGCAAATGGCGAGGGGTAATACGCTTTACTTTTAAGTCTTTTGATGCATTTCCTGCCAATTCCAGTACCTCTGCGGCGGCGAGGCACTGCAGGATGGCTGCGCTGTGCAGGCGGCGGCCGCGCCCTCTCGGCCATGACTGGTCGTCCCGGATCTCAGGTGTGGATGAATGCGGCCCACCGGGAACTGCAAGCCGGCTCCCTGCCAGCGGGAACCGCCTTTGTCTTGGCCTTTCCGCAGTCCTTCCCAGCCTTACCGCCAGCCATTTCGAACTCAGCTGCAGCCCAAACAAGCAAGGTGGGAAAGGGCTAATGAGACACACGGTGAGACCCCACCGCCTACTCCTTCGTCGCACGGTGAGTCAAACTGCCTGAAGCAAACTTTTGAAAAGCCCTTACGTGTGTGTACAGAAGTCAGTGTCCCCTGTTTTGATTTTCCCAGCCATTGCGTGAGGCAGAGGATCAAGTGGGTATTATTGTCCCATTTGACACAGGCCCAGAGAGGCGGAGGGGATTCCCCAGGGTCGCAGACAGGAGGGACGAGAGGCTGCTTCCCTCCCCTGGCCGGGTCCTACAGGCTTAGGGCAGAGCTTCAGGAGGAGAAAGGAAAACTCACCCTCATTACCTAGTGGGTATAGAGGAGAAGAGGCAAGAGAGAAAAAAGAGGAAAAGAAAGAAGGGGAAGAGAAACTAAGAAGTAAGGGAGGGCAAAGGTGCCTAAAAGTATGGAAATGCAACAAACCATCAAAATAGCAAAAAAGCAAACCGCCAGCGCAGAGGCAGGTGGGGAGGCGTGTCCCTGCGACAGGCAGGGCCAGAGCAGCTTTCTCTCGGAAGCTGAGTCACTTCTAGAGAAAACGGCTAAGAGGGTTGAGGGCCACAAGTCCCATCTCTGGGGAGCAGGTCTCAAGGTTGATGTTTCCCTTGGGTCAGAGCTCTGGGCCCAAAGTCCCTGTGGAAAACACATCCCTCTACTGACCGTGGCCTCTGCCCACAGCCTCTCCTCTAGGCCTGTGTGTTTAGGCAGCTGTGCTGCATTTTTAGAACAATTTTTAACTTGTAGCTTGTACCTGCCAAACCAGAATGTCTGGCCAAGACCTGTTACCTAATATCTGCAGGCCTTTAGGGTGCCAAGGACAACTGCAGCTCTGGCCAAGGCAGGTGTGGGCTGGGCCTTGCCAGAGAGGGCACAAGGTGACGGGAATGGGTCCCCTTCCTGCCTGGAGGCCTGAGCCCTCACTTCTGTGAGGGAAAGCTGAGTGGGGCTGATCCGGCCTGATTTCTCCATCCAGAAGCCATCAGAATATAGCTTTGTTTTGTTTAAAGGTTTCCTGAAGGGTTTAGGGTAGATCTAAGAAAAAAACTCACTATGGAGGATCTGCAAAATGTAACATGTTACCCTGAAGGTGTGACGATTTCTTCTGTACCTACTTAGAGATTATCACTGATAAACAGAAGTAGCCCTGCCTGCAGCAGAGATGGACTATAGGACTTCTGGAAGACCCTGTCCACTGATGATTCATGGTGTGCTGGGCAGATTCCAGGCCAAGACACTACTACCCTAGTACCTGAGTGCTCAGCTGGGAACAAGACCAAACCTCAAAATAGGTTTGCAGAATTAAGATAAGGAGCTGAGCTCACCACAGACCCATGGCTCCCCAGGGCAGGCCTGAGCAGAGGGAAGGAGGGAATGAAGACAGCTATCGGGGGGCTGGAATGCCTGTTACATTGCGTTACTTGCATAGCAATCCATGCTATGACAGCCTGACAGCCTGGAGCCTATGGAACCCAGAGAGATGAGTGGGAGATGGAAACCCAGCAAGCCAGGGCTGGCAGAGAATACAGGATACAGCTAGCCTAACCTCTTCTTTTTAAAGGTGGAACACTAGTGGGCTGGGCTAATTGACTCCTTTCTTTCTTTCTTTCTTTCTTTCTTTCTTTCTTTCTTTCTTTCTTTCTTTCTTTCTTTTCTTTTCTTTTCTTTTTGACATGGGGTCTCTCTCTGTCACCCAGGCTGGAGTGCAGTGGCACTATCATAGCTCACTACAGCCTCAAACTCCTGTGTTCAAGCAATCTTCCCCATTCATCCTCCAAAGTAGCTAGTACTACAGGCACTCACCACAATGCCCAGCTAATTTTTTTTAATACTTTGAAGAGTTGGGGTCTCACTGTACTGCCCAGGCTAGTCTCGAACTTCTGACCTCCCAAAATTCTGAGATTACAGGTGTGAGTCACCGCATTCAGCCTAATTGACTCATTTCTAACAAGAACACGGCAGGAGGAAGCAAACTGCCAATTTAGTGTGTTCTATGGAAAGGAACAGGTGGGAGGGAACAGATGTCTCTAGCCCACAGACAGTAAGGACTTGGGGCTCGTCAATCACCACACAACTACCCTTGGAAGCAGGTCCTGCCACAGCTAAGCCTCTGAGATGACTGCAGCCCCAGTGATTGCTTGATCCATCTTGTCATGAAAGACCCTGAGGCCAGAGGCACCCAGCTAAGTTATGCCCAGATTCCTGTTCACAGGTGAGATAATAAATGTTCATTGTTTAACATGTTCATCACCCTCTAACTTTCAGGGTGATTTACTAGACAACAATAGATAACCAATGCACATGGCTTTTCTATTGGGCTTGTAGCTCCTTAAGATTATAACTTATTCATCTCTGGATCTGCTGGGACAGCTCACTGGGACAATGAGAAGATCCTACAAGTTTTGAAAAAGCAAAACAAAACAAAACAAAACCCAGATTGCACACAAAGGCTCAAGAATCTGAATGGCATCGGCCTTCTCAGTAACAACTCTGGAAGCGAGAACACAATGGAACAAGACCTCCTAACTTTTGAGGGACAACAATATCCAATCTCCAGCAATTAAGGGTGACTTTGAAACATTTTCAGAGAATATCTCAAAAGTATACCACCCATCACTTGAGGCTGGGGAGTTCAAGACCAGACTGGGCAACATAGTGAGAATCTGTGTCTAAACATACAGAAAGAAAAGAAAAAGAAAACAGAAATAACCTTTCAAGTAAAAAAAAAAATGTATCTCCCTCGTACCCATTTTATCAGGAAGCTGCTGGAAGATGTGCTCTGCTAAAACAAGAGAGAAATCGAAAAAGGAAGAAGAAATGGGATCCAGGTACCAAGAGCCGATTAAATGGGGAGCAATTTCTAGCTGTTGGTGGGGGGAATTTCAAGATGACAGTTGTGGCTGAGATCTGGGGCAAACCACAAGGCCCTGGGACAGATTTGTTCAGGAAGGTGGAAGCTAATGTTTTGAATATATTCAGTAGACATTAACAAGCAATATATAAATGGGGGAGAGTTTAGGGTTAAATGAGTAACAAATATATATATGGAGCAAACAAAAAGAAGTGAGACAAATATTTTTCAGTGACTGCAATGTGTTATTGACTCATATTCCACTTTTGGCCAACACCTTTTATTACGTGAGTGTCATCCAGCCCAGGATTCCCCATCCTGCATTTGTGCAAATGGCTCTTTGAACCCAAATAAAGGACTTTGTCCTTGTTGGGTTTTTGCCATTCATTGAGGTGTTTTTGGATGTAGATCCTGTCTTCAATATTAACCATCTCTCCAGGTTTTGCATAATCCACCAATGTGATTGGTAGGCTTTCTCTCTATTTTCATCCAAGAGGATAATAAAATAAATTAGGGTCAAGGATAAAACTCTCTGCTCACTACGCAAGTCCACACGACATGTTGACAATAATGCGTGTTTCTGGATGCAATTGCCCAATCACCTATGGAGCAACCAAGCTGTGTTAGTTTCCCAGGTTTCCTATGACATATTGCCACAAATTAGATGGCTTAAAACAAAAGAGATACATTCTCTCACAGAAGTCCTAAGTGAAGTTGTCAGCAGGGCCATGCTTGCTCCAAAAGCTCTGGAAAATGTGAACTAAAATGCTCAACTCCTACCGGCTGACTGAATGGACCCCCTCGTGGCCAGAGGAATATTCAAGGGCAAAGTTGCCTGCCAGGAGGAGGGAGGTCAAACAGGCCTTATCATGCCCCCCTCCCTTCTTTGAGACTTCCTTTGTAATCCATTAACAGGCCTAAGGGTATGCAAGACAAACCTGCAGGCCCTCAATCTGCAACAAATGGTGGCTTATCTCTGGTAAACAGTTTATGTTAAAACATTCCACGTCTTTAGACAAAGCTTCATGTCATTAGCCAATTACAATCTAAAGAATCTTTAAACCCACCTATAACCTGTAAGCCCCCACCTTCGAGATGGCCCTTCTTTTTGGGCCAAACCAATGCCTCCCACACATTGATTAATGGCTTTACCCATAACCCTTGTCTGTAAACTGTATAAAAACCAAACTGTAACCCAGTCACAGCAAGTCCACTTGCCCAAGGCCTCTTGGCAGTGGCTCCGGATCATGGTCCTCAAATTTGGCTCAGAATAAATCTCTTTAAAATTATTTTGCAGACTTGGCTTTTTTCCGTTGACAAAAAGAATCCATCTTTGACTCTTCCTAGCGGTTGAGGGGTCTTCATGTGGCCTTCTTCCCTCTGTAGTTGTAGTTTTGAGTCTTTGTGTCCAAATTTCCCTCCTCTTGTAAGGACACCAGTTATTGAGTTTAGGGCTCACCCTAATCCAGTATGAGTTCATTCTTACCTTGATTACATCTGCAAAGATGGCATTTCCAAACAAGGTCATATGCAAGGTTGCAGGGGTTGGGGCACAATTCAATGCACAACACAAACAGTATCAGTTTCATCTCTTTGTCTCCTTCTGACCCCCAGGCTTTGAAGATCGTGTTCCTATCACAAGCCTTGATGACATCCAGATAGCCACGGGATTTCATGTACCCCAACCCTCTGAATCAGTCAGCCTGATCTGCTAACCCCCATGTGGCTGCCTTCTCCCTTTCCAAGTCTCCGGGGTTCTGCCAACATCTTCCCTGGGGGAGGGGCACAGCATCTCCTGGGTGTGGGAGGGGCAGGTGGAGAGAGGCCAGGGAGTGGGCTGGTGAACAGACTGGAACGAGACAGATCTGTGTCACTTTGGGCCAGCTCAGCCTCTCTTGCATCCCATTTTATTCAGCTGTAAAATGTGAATAATAAAATGTGAATACTACTAATATCTGTAAGGTTTTTCGGCGGTGGCGAAAAGAAAAGAGACACAGAAAGAGAAAGAGTGGGGGGCCAAACCACGTGGCTTTATTATACACTCGTGGATGAGGTTCTGGGGCCCCAAGAGCGGGGGGCCCCCCGGAAGTCGCCACTGTTTGAAGGGACTGAGGCCTTTTATATCCTTTGGGCTTGGCTAGGGACTTTTGGCGGGAAGAGCTGGGGATTTTAGGAGGGGCTGGAGGTATTTGTGGAATCCAGGAGCCAAAACATTCTTATCCAGGTGGACATCTGGGTGTGGATACTCTCTGCAGGGCCTGGCAGTTTTGTCCTTGGCGGGTCTGGTCTCATGAGCCTTTTCTTTTTGATCTAGGGAAGGGAGGGGGCCCGCCACCAGCCTTACAATATCAACCTTAGGAGGATTAAATGACATCACTCTTAGCCCAGCAGTAGCAATGGGGAGCAGTGCTCTTGCCAGTTGCTGCTGCTGCTGCTGTAGTTGATTGCTTGGGAGTCCAATAAAGCTAGATATAAATCCAGAACTTCTACTGCCCCAAGGCAAGTTTCTTAATGTCACTGAAGCTCATCAGTTTCAGCATCTGTAGAATGAGACACGTAAGTCTTACAGTGTCCTGAGTTCTTAATCCACCCAGCACAGAGTCTGGGGCACAGTAAACCTGTTGTAAATGTCTACGTCTTCCCTTTCCCTTCTGTGAATAAAGGGGGGAATGTTAGTTGTAATCACTCACTCTCTCTCTCTCTTTTTTGAGATGGGATCTCCCTCTATCACCCAGGCTAGAGTGCAGTGGCACAATCATAGCTCACTATAACCTTGAACTCCTGGGCTCAAGCAATCCTCCTGCCTCAGCCTCTGAAGTAGCTGGGACTGTAGGCATGTGCCACCACACTCAGCTCATTAAAAAAAAAAATGTTTTTTAGAGATGGAGTCTTACTATATTGTCCTGGCTGGTCTTGAACTCTTAGCCTCAATTGATCCTCTAGTCTCCCAAGGTGCTGGGATTACAAGCATAAGCCACCACATCCAGCCCTACTCTCCTTTCTGTGTCCTTGGGGAGATACGCTGGATTTAATTTGGAGTCTTTTTTTTTTTTTTTGAGACAGAGTCTCATTCTGTTGCCTGGGCTAGAATGCCATGGCATCAACCTAGCTCACATCAACCTCAAACTCCTGGGCTCAAGTGATCCTCCTGCCTCAGCCTCCCGAATAGCTGGGACTACAGGTGCATGCTACCAAGCCCAGCTAATTTTTTTCTATTTTTAGTAGAGATGGGGATCTTGCTCAGGCTGGTCTCAGACTCATGACCTCAAGCAATCCTCCCACTTTGGCCTCCCAGAGTGCTAGGAATACAGGCATGAGCCACCGTGCCTAGCCAAGGTGCTTTTTTGTAAGAGACAGAGTTTCGCTGTGTCAACCAGGCTGAAGTACAGTGGCATGATCACAGCTCACTGTAACTTCAGACTCC